AGTGAGAAAGCCCCCCGCTCCCCTGGGCCAGGATCACACCACAATTCCTTCCCCCTGCACTTCTCCCTCCTTTCAGGATTTTAGGCCCTCATACACGTGCACCTGACTTGGTTTTCCAAGTTCCCGGGCCTGGGACTTGAACTGTGCAGTTCAGAGGGCCATGTGAAATCTGGTACCTTAATTGCCAGGCATTCTTTTTTAAACTTATAATCTTTCCGACGTCATATTTCAGTTCAAAATTCTGTGTTTGATTCATCCCTATTTATACTTATTCTTGAATTTTCAGGCTTCATAGGCAGTATTTCCTTGTATAAATATGTCCCAGGTTTACCCTCCTCTCGATAGCAGGGGTGTGCTCCGCTTTCCAAGGTCCTGCAGGTGCCGACTGGAGGTTCCTGCACGTGCTCCCCCGGGCATGCGCGCCAGGGTTTTCCTGGGAACTGACGGGCTGCAGGGCATGCGCTTTGTTGGCCTAGTTCTCTCCCCAGCAGTGTGTGCCGTCAGTGTCCCCGCCACACTTGACATGGCATGTGGTCATGACCAGTTCGTGGGGACCGATGAAGGTGTGACGGCCCGGTGTATGGCGCCTTCAGTGTCGCACTTTCATTTGCAGGTTGTCAGTTCGTTTAAATGGGGCCAACCTTGATGTCTCCTTTAAGCTCAGAATTAATGTCTCCTAAGGAGCTTCACGTTTATTTTCCGTTACAAAGTGGTTCTTTGGTGAAGTCGTAATTGCGAAGCTGCCGCTCATTGGTTGGTTCCTACCTCATAGCCAGCAGCTCTCGGATCCGAGCCACAGTCGCTAAGGTGGCCTCCATGAAGCTAAGGGTTTTCTCAGCCCTGAGGCATTATTTGCCCTTTTCCCGGGGTTGGAATTTGCCCTAATGGGACAAGAGCAGTGGTGGGTGGGACAGCCAGGGGCCTCCTGAGAGACCAGGTGGTGGCACCGGGTGTAGTCATTCATGGTAACTTTAATGGGTTTGTCATTTAAAATGGCTAAACCTTTGGTCTCTGCTAGACTAGCTGTCAGTGCATGTAATGCAGACCTAGTTCCTTCTCCTAAGACATGAAAGGGCTCGGAACCAGAAAGCTTGGGAAGCGGTGCTTTAAGTGCATGTCGATGAAGGAACAGACGTTTTATTATTGCTGGTGGTGGTCACTGGGAAAGAGAACTTTAACAGATGAGCGTACTTATATTCAGGTTGTATATTATCTTAAGTGAACTTTGAATTCTTTGCCTTAAACTTTTGTTTCTGACTAGATTACTTTTGTACATAAAATGCTTTGCAGGTGCTGACCTTAAGGAAAGAGCCAAAATGAACTCCAGTGAGATTGGTCCTTTCGTGTCCAGAATAAGAGCCACGATTAATGACATTGGTAAGCACAGTTGAACCCTCCTTCCAGCGCGCTGGAGACAGTCGCAAATGATGTATCCTTTGATCAATGCTTAGATTAGATGATCATGACCTCTAGCTGGTTGCTTTAAAATAGCACTTAATATGTTTAATTTGAAAAATGATGTAAAATATTTTATAATTATAGGTGCCTCCTTTGTTGTGATAGCATGGCGTACAAGGGGGACTTCAAATGTTTGTGGAAAAATGGAATTAAAGTGTGACTGTTTTGTCAGAGAAAAATTTGAAATCCATTCATAGTCCTTTTTTCTTTTTGGTGTTTTTTCCTTAAGGCATGTGCGCTCACTGGAGAGGAAGAGAGACAGACACAGTGAGAGAGAAAGTGAGAAATCACCCCCGCAGGGATGGCCACACCACAATCTCTTCTCCTCTGCTCTCCTCCCGGGATCTTGGGCATGCATGCACATGAGCCTGGCATGAATGTCAAGGCACCACGTCCGGGACTCAAACTGTGGTCAGCCATGTGAGAGTCTAGCAATGTAACCACTGTGCCATCTGGTGGTTCCAAAATTCATTCATAGTCTTTTCATCACAGACATTTTCTGTGAACTTTTTGAAGACCACCCCCTAACCCTGCCTTTTATGAGGGTCTTTATTAAAAACAGAGTAAGTTGGCATAAGCCTTTTACTTCAGATACCTATCTTTATTTTTGAAAAAGTTTTTATGTATTTCTTCCATGAGGGAGAAGGAGAGGGACAGAGAGGGGGACAGAAGGGCCGTCCCAGCAGGTTTTATGCCATGAGCTCTCCTAGTCTAGCGGCCTGGAGTGTGGAGACGTACCCATGTGCCTGACCTGCACTGTCGGGCCGGGCCGGGAGCCTTCCCACGCAGCTCCAGCTGTCCTGTCTGCTGCTGTGTTACCACCCGACACCTTGGGATGTCTGTGTCTCTTAAATAGGGCCATATTGGGACCAGCAGTTGGCCTAATGGCTATGTAGCTGGACTCCCATGTAGTTGACCATGATTCGAGTCCCGGACCCAGTGGCTTAAATTCACGCCGGGTGCGTGTGCGTGTGCCCAAGATCCCGAGAGGAAAACGGAAGAGAAGGGATTGCGGTGTGGCCACCGCCCTGGGAGTGATTTCTCGCGTTCTTTCTCTTTTTGGTGAGCGCACGCGCCCTATAGCAAACCCCCCCCCCCCAAAAAAAAAGGGCTGTATTATTTTCTTAGATTTTCAATAGCCAGCAGTTTAATTTATTACTACTTAATTATTCCACTGCCTTATCTGAAATTTTAAATTAATGACTTATTATTTTCTTTAAACTTTGAGCCAGGTGTGCTCACTGGAGAGAAAGAGAGAGGGACCAAGTGAGAAAGCATCCCTGAAGGGGAATCGTCCCACTGAAATCCCGTCTTGTCCGTTTCTCCCTTCCTGGGGCTTAGGGCACGCACGCACATGCTCCTGGTGATCCCTTCCTCTCGCAGGTCTGGGACTCGCTCGGGGGGTCCCAGCTGCCACACCACCATACCACCATTGGCCTTAAATTAATTCTTCGTTAGCAAGCACTTAGACTTGTTTTTGATGTTTGTGTTCATAATAAAGCAGCGACCATTGTCGTAAATAGGAGTAAATTCCTAAGCATGGAATTGCGTACCAAGTGTCACGTGTTCATTTTATATTTCCAGCAGTTGTGTAATAGTACTGGCCTGTACACCTGCCAGCATTTAACAAACGTCTTTTTAAGTTTGTCAAGGTTAAAAAAAAGTTTCAACTTACATTTTCCTAAATGCTTATTTGATGTTTGTCTTTCCAAATTAAACTTTCCTTTTCTCTTGTGTAAATTGTCTTTTTCTATCCTTCATCCATCTTTTATAGAACTATTTAATAACTACTTATTTATTTAAAAACTTGACAGTGATCCTTTGTCATTAAACTTGTTACTGACATTTATCTTCTAATACGAGCTTCTCATTTGACTCCAGGAGCTTTTTTGTTTCGTTACAGTTTATTGATTTCTTGTATGAGGGAGATATATATATAGAGAGACAGAGACAGAGAGACAGCCCTCCAGCAGGATGTGTGTGCAGGCCCCGGCAGTGTCTGCTGGCCTGGGTCATGGGTGTGTGGCCCCTGTTTGCTCAGGGAGGTCCCTGGACACTCGCTCAGGGCCCTGCCCAGGTGGGCCCACCTGCATTGCTGCTGCACCACCTGCAGGCTCCAGATTCCAGGAGCTTTAAACGTAACACTTTCAAAATCTAGGCAATAGTAGGGTCCCTTCACTATTCCTTTTCCTTTAAGATTTCTTTGTTGATTTTCACATAATCAGTTCTTCCGAATGAATTTAGAATTATTATTTTTTAAAACAAGGGTGAAATTGCTCTGTTGGGATTGTGATAAGAATTTCATTAAATCTTGTTAAGAAGGAATTGCTGTTTCTACGACCTTGACTCTTTCCACCCGTGGTGTGCATTGCTCTTGCTTTTGAGGTCGTTATGTTTTATGCCGTACTTTGAGAAAGTTTCTAATGGTGCTACAGAATACTCACGTTGGTCTTGGTTTTGTTCCTCATTTCCCTCCTCAAATTAATTCCTAGCTATTTTATAGCATTCATTTGTTTGAGCAGGATCATCTCCACCCTCATTTCTGTTGTGGTCTTATTATTAAACATTGTAGGTGGGGCCATCAGATGGCGTGGTGGTTAAGGTGCTAGACTCCCACATGGTCGACCACGGTTCAAGTCCCAGACCTGGCGGCTTGCTGTCTCACTTTTCTTCTCTCTCTCTGTTTTTCTCTTGTCTGTCTCTCTCTGGTGAGTGCATGTACCCTATAGCAAATTTTAAAAATAAAGAAAGAATTATTGGGACCAGCAGATAGTGTAATGGCTAGGTTGCTGGACTCCCACGTAGTTGACTACAGTTTGAGTCCCGGATCTGGCAGCTTAAACTCACACTGGGCGCGAGTGCGTGTGTGCCTGAGATCCCAAGAGGAGAATGGAGGAGAAGGGATTGCGGCATGGCCATCCCCCCTGGAGAGTGATTTCTTGCTTTCTGTCTCTCTGTTTCTCTCTATCTTCCTGGCGAGTGCACATGTCCTATAACAAAAACCTCTCCAAGAAAAAGAGAAAGAATTATTTAAAAAAAAAAAGAAAAGAAAAGAAAAGATGATAGGAAAGTTGTGGGTTTTATGCGCTCATCCATGCCTCCTTACTGACCCCTTAGTTACTGATCCTCAGTCAGGTCTCTGTGTCCTCCAGATGAAAACTTCATTCAGCTCATTGTTACCTTCAGAGAATGAAGTTTTTACCTTCTCATTTCCTAACATTTTAATCTTACATATGTTTCTTACTTTACATTTTGGCTAAGGCCCTCAGTACAGTATTCGTTTATTAAGGTGAACTTGTTCATCTTTGTCTTTCTTTGATGTTCGTGAGTGCCTTTGTTATTTTGCTAGTAATTTTCATGTAAGTTTCTTTCAACTTCGTTTGACTTTGTTACTGTTTTCCAGTCAGGAATAAGCATAAAGATTTATCAAACGTCCACTGGCCTGGATCATGGGTGTGCGGCACCTGTTTGCTCGGGAGCTTCTAAATACGTTATGCCCCTAAAACATGTCGGGATTGTTCGTGATGTATATTACAGATCTGCCTCACTTAGTCATGCCGTACTCAGTTGTACTAGTCAGTTCCCTGCTGCATGCTGGCCTGCATTACTGGGATGAACTCGGCTTGGTCACTGTGGTTTGGGCTGGTGGCGGTTTCTAATCTGTGTGTTCTATTTAAAGTTTTCTGGTGTATTTGTAAATGAGATCGATCTCTTTGTTGTGATATTATCCTCCTTAGACTTGGTATCGAGATCCTGCCTTCATAGATTGAGGTATAAAGCTTCCCATAGTTTTCGGTGCTATACAGAGAGGTCATTTGTTATTTGAAAGATTAGTAAAATTTAATCATTTACTATCTTGGGGGCTTGTGTGGTTTTGGTATTGTATTCTCTTTAAAATATTTTTAAAGTTAAAATTAAAAATTACACATATGTATAATATATATAAACTTTATAATTTTATAAAATGTGTGTGTGTGTGTATATATATACACACACATATACATAGTATGTATAATTTAAAGTTTACTCTAGGGCACGTGTGCTCACTGAGGTAGAGGGATGTGAGAAGGCAGGCCCCTGGAGGGGTGGCCACACTGCAATCCCTTCTCCCCTATTCTCCTCCTGGGGTTTTGGGCATGGGCATATACTCGCCCAGTGTATTTTCCAAGCCACTGGGTCTGCATAGCCGACTGTGTGGCATCCAGCTGCCTTATCTACCACACCACCTGCTGGCTCCAAAATAAACATTTTGATTTCTGCAGTGGTTACCGGTTTAGCCTGCTTCTCTGCTGGCGTCACCCCGGGCTCTTTCATGCTTCTCTCCACCTTCAGCCTCATGTCCCGGTGTCCCTGAGACGAGTGGGAACTGTGTTCTAAGGAGAACAGAGCTCACCTTGGAATGAGTGTTGAGGGTGACTGTGACTGTATGTGTGCTGGCCAACCTGCGGCCTGCTGGCTAAAACGGCCGGACCCCACACGGCGGACCGGTGGTTAGTCCCAGACCCAGTGACGTGGCAAACATACCAGACGCGTGTGGGTTGTGACGTGAACTGTCCCCGTGGCTGGTATTTTCTCATTTTAACCTTCTCTCTCTTTGTCTCTTTCCAGCAAATGCACGCACGCCCTGGTAATTTTTTAAAAATATACGAGTATGTACTGGGAATGCTGAGACTGCTCTCGCTGATTAAATTGCCAGATGTTTCTTCCAGAGCCCTTTATGTTCTGTGTTCTGAAAGAAACTGGAATTTTTCTGGGACTCTTTCTTTAGAGAAGTGTTCTCTTTTCTATGATGGTAGCTGTAGCAGTCTGCTCTGAGTTCTTGCCCAGTCTCCGTCTTTGTTCCCAAGGTCCCGACTGTATTTTTTTTTTTTTTTAAGAGATTTTTGCTATAGAGCGCATGCGCTTGCCAAAAAGTCAGA